CCGTCAGGTTACCATGCGAAAACCACAAGATTACCATGTGAAAACCAAAAAAGTCCCATGGGAAAACCGTACTATTACCACGTGAAAACCATGAGATGCCCACGTGCAACCCATGAGGTTACCATACGAAAACCACTAGATTACCAGATGGGAACCATGAGGTTACCATATGAAAGCCACGGGGTTGCCATATGAAACCATGATATTACCATATACAGCCATGAGCTTACCATGCGAAACCCATGGCAGTGCCAATTGAAAAAACCATGATAACACGTTTTGAAAACCATAAAAATGTCTGATGTAAACCATGAGGCTACCATATGAAAACCAGAAGACCACCATATGAAAACGATGAAATCACAAAAAAAAACCTTCAGACTACCATGCGAAAGCCATACGATTACCATGCGGAAACCAAAATATTACAGTGCGGAAGCCATCAGGTTACCATAGTGAAGCCAACAGACTACCATGTGAAAGCCAAAAGGTTATCATATGAAAACCATGAGGGTACCATATGAAAACCGTAAGGCCACCATATGGAAACCATAAGAGTATAATATGAAAGCAAAACGACTACCATACAAAAACCAAAATCTTACCATCTGAAAGCCATGAGATGACCATATGAAAAACCATGAGGCTGCCGTACGAAAGTCATGATATTAACAAATGGCAACCGGAAGACCACCCTATAAAATACTATGTGAAAGCAATGTTAATACCAGATGATAGCCATAAGAGTACCGTACGAAAACTCTAATATTACTATGTGAAAGCCATGGGGCTACCGTATGAAAACAGTACGATTACCATACGAAAGCCATACTAGTACCATACGACAACCAAAATATTACCATGCGAAAGCCATTGGGCCACCATCTGCAAACCAAGGCATTGCCATATGAAAACCACGAGGATACGATATGACAACCATAATCTTACCATGCGAAAGCCATGAACTTCCCATGCGGAGCCAAAATATTAGCATAGGAAGAAAACAAACGATTACCATACGAAAATCATAAGATTACCCACCTACGACCATCATAACACCATATGAAACACATAAGGCTACCATGCGAAAACCATACGATTACCATATGGCAAACAATACGAGTACCATACGAAAACCATGCGACTGCCATGCGAAAACCATAAGATTACCACAGTCAAACCATAAGGTTCTCATACGGAAGCCATAATTTTACCATACGAAAGCCATGCGATCCCCACACGAACACCAAGCGATACCCACACGGAAACAACAGTAATACCCTACGAAAGCCATGCTACTGTCATGCGAAAGCCCTAAGACTACAATACAAAAAACCATAAGGTTACAATGCCGAAACCGTAAGGTTACCATCTGGGAACTATAGTATTACCATACGAAAGCCACACTAGTACCATGCGAAACAAAACTATAACCATACGAAAACCAATGGGGCATCCAGGACGTCCAAGAAAGTTTTCAGGGCTGCCAAAAAGGCCCCCAGGACGCCCCCAAAAAATTCCAGGACGCCCAGGAAGGCCCCCAGGCGTCCAAGAAGGCCTCCAGGACGCCCAAGAAGACCTCCAGCACGCCCAAAAGAGTCCCAGACCAACAGGAACCCAAATGAATCCCAGAGCCCCCCTGGGGCAAACAGCGTAAGGTCAACCCTACTAAGACGACGACGACGACGACGACGACGACTACTACTACTACTACTGCTACTGCTACTAGTAGTACTGCGACTACGACTACGACTACGACTACGACTACGACTACGACTACGACTACGACTACTAATGCAACTACTCCGACTACGACTACGACTACGACTACGACTCCGACTCCGACTCCGACTCCGACTACGACTACTACTACTACTACTACTACTACTACTGCTACTACTACTACTGCTACTACTACTACTACTACTACTACTACTACTACTACTACTACTACTACTACTACTACTACTACTACTACGTCTACGACGGCGACTACGACGACAACTACTACTACACGTATCACTTACGACCAGTACCAGCACGATACCTACTACTACTACTACTACTACTTACTACTACTACTACTATTACTACTACTACTACTACTACTACTACTACTACTACTACTACTACTACTACTACTACTACTACTAGGACGACGACGACTACTACTACTACTACTACTGCTACTACTACTACTACTACTACTACTACTCCTACTACTATTACTACTACGGCTACTACTACTACTACCACCACTCCTACTATTACTACTACTACCTACCTGCCTACCTACCTGCCTACCTACCCACCTACCTAGCTACTACTGACCTACCTACCGACCTACCCACTTATCACTAATATAATTACCAATCGTACTAGTACTAGTAATACTACTACTACGGCTACAACCACTACCACTACTACTACTGATGATACGACTACTACTGCTACTACTACTACTACTACTACTACTACGACTACTACTACTACTACTACT